AGTCCCCCTCCTTGGACGAGCGGCCCCTTTTCGAAAGAGAGAGAAAAAAAGAGAGAGACACCGCCGCCGCTTGGGAATGATCGGAGGAGGACTTTTAAATCGCCTCGTTCCGCTCGTTCGAGCATAAAATGAAACTTTTACAATGATCTGGATGTAATACTGAATTGACCTTTTGCAGGAAGGGGAGAATTTTTTTTTTCTTTTTTTTTTTTCTTTGCTTGACGTGTATCGCGAGTCTCTTCCTTTTTCTTCCTCCTCTTCCTCTCTTTCGAGCTCGATCTTTTTCTTCTTCTTCTTTTTCTTCTTCGATTCACATATATGTTTTGTAATATATTGCAGTATAGTTGAGCTTCGTCGGTGTCTGCCAATATTCTTTTACACATTTTTTTTTTCATTTTTTTCCTTTTTTTTATCTCGAGATTTATAGTCTATCGATAGTTCGATATATTATTATTATTCGTATAATTCTAATAAATATTTTATTCTTTTTCCTCTCATTTTTTTCCTTTTTTTTTTTATATCTGTTATATATATATATATATATTTTTTTTCTTTAGTCGATTAATAATCGTAAATCCTTACAATCTAGTATTTTTTTTTTCGACGAAACAAAAAATTATACGTATATTATACTCCAATGAATTCTAGAAGGCTGCACACTCTCGGGACCACGTGCTTCTCATTTTTATTTATTTTTTTCTTCTTTTTTTCTTCTTATTTTTCTTCATATAAACAAGCAAAACGCACACGGCAGTACAGCAAACGCAGCAGGTCTCGTTTTCGTTTCGTTTTCGAGACGCTCTCGATCGTTTTCGACAGCCTGATCATTTTTCTCGTGACGTGGACAAGCTCCTCGTGCGTGCTCGCAATTTCCTCGAGATTCTTTCTATACTTATACTCTACAAATCCTTACCTTTCTTCCTTTTTATTTTTTATTTCTTTTTTTTTCTTTTTTTAACAAACCTTGGAACGAGTTTTTAAAAGAAGACCGTCCTTTAAATTGGCGGGAAAAAATTTACAAGTTTAATGCTCGTTCGATATCCTCGTGATCTTGTTTTTACAAAATAATCTTAATTAATTTCGCGCGAATATTAATATAATTATTGAAATTATTGAATCGTTACAAGGTCGAAAAGATAATTTTTTCCAATATTGGTGAGCTCGCAAGATTCACTTCTCCACGATTTGTTCGAACGAACTAGATTCGAAGAATTTAAGGTAGGTATCGCCTGAGACACAGTCAAACATTTACCGCTAAGCTATATAATACATACTTTTAGGAGGAGTTAAAGAAACAGAAGAGGAACAGGAAATGGTAAGGAACGCAACAGGAGAAATTCAGCGGGAGGAAATTAAGAGTGGGGAGGGGGATGATTCAGCCCATTTATGACTGGCCAATCGTCGATCTTTGATCATCTCCTCATCATCACCAATAGTATCATCGCCAATATAATGAAATATATCTTTTGATTAACAAAATTTCTACCATGCTTGCATAAATGGGTGAACGATTGCGTAAAAATCGTTCTGGACGCGTGTGTTCGTTTTAATTGGAACCTCTCGTCCAGAATGATTGCGACGCCAATTTAAAAGTGAATTTTATTATTTTCTCCTTTTTTTTCTCCTTTTTCCTTTCTTTTTCTTTTTTTTTTTTTTTTTTTTTTCATTTTTTCATTCTCAGTCTTCGAAATCTGTAGTACGAAAATAAAGTCGTCGAAGAGGTTTTCGAGTTCAGCGGGAATCGCTCGATTGATTTGTGGTCGCAGCCCAAAGAGGATGGATCTATTATGCTGCCATGAAACCGGAATCGGAACAGGTAGCGTTGTTGTTACTGTTACACGCCCCCTTGAAACCTCGGACACCCTTAATTTGTACTTTAACACGAGGATACCTGATTGCCGTGACAGTGGTGGCCTCGTAATCACGCGTTTTTCAATCAGATCCAGTGTTTCCCAATCTTTTTTGAACTATTTTTTTTTTTTTTTTTTAATAAGGATTTTAATATCTTTTGTATCGTGTTACACTTTAATTCTCACTCAATCTTTTGGATTATGTCGCACTTTCTAAAAATTTTAATGCTCTTTAACATTATTAATCGTTTTTTGATTAATGTAAAATTTGGATAACAGAACACAAATATCCAAAAGCATCTTTATTATTTGAAAGAAGGGATCCTTTCTTTTTTTATTTGGCAAAATATAAAGGAAACTTCAATTCTCCAATTATCCAAAAACTTGGACTTTTCTCGAACAATTATTAAACTTTTATTATATATTATGACAAAGTATCAAGTTATTGCAAAAGATATTCATATTATGGCTCTGAGGATGATCATATATTATATTCTCTTATATTGGGAAACACTGGATTAAGTGAAAATATCGATTATGGACGTGGATCGTAGACACATCTGCAGCTTGATGTTTTTTCCTCTTTCTTCTTTTTTATCGAATATAAATTTATTCTTGCTAATCGTGTAAAGGAATGCAAATTTTGGTTGATGGAGTTCTACTTCAATTTCGATAAGTAAAAAAGAATATTGTAATTATTTAATCGATTATTTTTTATTATTTTTCACTCTCGAAAATAATTTTTATTATTTTCTTAGCGAATGTATTCTCACGAGTAACGATTGTGTTCAATCTATCTCTTTGATTTAATTTATCGATTATGCTTTGTTGCATCGAGAGATATTTAATTCATCCTGATTAATGTTCTCGTTATTAATCGCTCTCGTTATTTTTTATAAATTGAAAAATTGTTAATGCACGGAGAAGCTGTCGTGTTGGAAAATGATATCAGAGAACAATGAAATCTGCTCGAAATGACGGATGAAATTCTTTCCCTTCAAGTGACAGATGATTCTCAATGTAGAAATGGATTTCTGACAGAAGAAAATTGATCGTTCGTTCGCAATGGCAGGAAATAGTAGAATCCAGAAAAGGAAGGGAAAAATTATCCACAACAAACTTTCGTTTTAAAATTTTACTTCGATATTTCGCGGAAAAGGAGCGAAAACGATTTACAAAAATTTTTCTGTAAATTATTTAAAATAATTCTGAAAAAATATTTCAAATTGTCATATTAATTCGCTTCTCGTAAAATAATTCCAAAATTCTTTCAAAATTCGCAACAAAATTATTTCACAAGTCTCCAAAAACTCTTTTCAAACTTGTATTTTTCCAAAAAACATTTCAAAACGAATCATCTCCAAATGCTGTTCAAATCTCTTCTAAATCTCTTCCAACATTTTTTGATAAATCAAATTTGATAACAAATGAACAAATACCGATTGATTAATTCTCAAATTCTTCGTCTTGCACCATCACCCAACTAATTATACGTATATAATACCGTCAAATAGAAAACAAATCATTAAATCTGCCCAATAACCAATACGATTTCTCTCTCCCTTCCCTCCCTCCCCCCTCCCTCTCTCCCTCTCCCGACCATCCATCAACCAATACGATACGGTATCTTGCATGTATCGCGAAACTATCCGGAAACTCCGCGTCAATCCCCTCGATATGTTTCATAATCACCCATGTCCACCCTCATCAACCCCTAAACGTCAAGCCGCAGAACGCGCTCATTTAATCGAGCAACGAAATATCCTCACTCCTGTCTGTCCGTCTGTCGAATCCATCCACAAAATCGTGTGGTGTTATTCCCGCCGTTATAGACACCGTTAATAGTAAACGCGTGTAAAACGAGGCCGTTTTGGAATCAAAACCCTCCCCCTCTCCTCCCCATCCATCCATCCATCCATGGAGCACGGATATCCGCCATACTTGTGAGTGCTGCTCACGAGAGACGATGATTCATCTTTACGTTCCCCTGAGTTTGATTTCAACGTGAACATCATCTTCACATCTCGCGTGCGTGCGTTCTTTCTTTCTTTCTTTCTTTCCTTTCTTTTTTTCTTTTTTTCTTTCTTTCTCTCGTTTTTTCCCCCCTTTCATACATCGTATTCTCATACATTATTCACGCATACGCACAAACACTCTCTATTTCTCATCGTTTATGTATGTGTATGTATGTATGTGTGTGTATGTGTGTTGGTGTTGGTGTGGGTGGATGTTTTTACGGTTACACGACGGAGGACAAGAGGGAGAACTCTTTGCAAAATAGACGATACGGGGGGGGGGGAACGGGGTGGAGGAGAATGCGAAACAAGGTTTTCGTCTTCTCGTCGGCACACGTTCCTTTCGCGAGCGAGTGGATCAAACGTGCGAGGCTCGAGGAGAGGGAGAGAAACGCGGACACGAGAAATTATTCCGCAAGGGATCGTAAAGAGGCTGTTGGAACGTGGTTCTCGAACGCGATTCCCGTCCTTCCAATGGATTTCCTTTCGAATTGAATCCTCCCTTGGATTAGAGAGCATTTATGAATTAAGAGATTTTCCTTTGCTCTTTGCCTTGTTTTTCTCGGAAGAAAGGATGGATTTCGTTCGATTTGAATGTACATTTAGAAATTTTTTCGTTTTTTTTTCTCTCGTTTTTTCTTTTTTCTTTTTTTTTTTTCTTTTTTTCTTTTTTTTTTCTTTTTTAAACGATGATAATATTTAATTTTTTTGTTTTAAATATTTTTTTATTGATTGTTACTTTTTTTTTTTTTTTTTTTTTTAGGAAATTTGTTGATTTTAATTCTTGAACTTTTGATTTCAAGTTTGAGTTAATTCTAAGATTAAAATTTATCAAGCTTGCAATAAGAAAGATAAGGAAGATCGATCAAATTGGTGAAATAGATGGTTGATTGATTTTTGCGTATACAATTCGATAATATAGTTTTATTTGCAATTCGTTTAATTTTTATATATCGATTTATAAGATAATTTATTCGATGTTCAGAAAAGTTTCAATTTCCTTCGATAAAAATACATGTATTGCAATTCATTCGTATTTTTATAAATTTACGATGATTGATTTAATCAATTTAATATATCGAAAAATAATATTGCGTTACGAATTGTATATATATATATATATTTTTTTTAAAAATCAAAGTTCTTCTATTTCAAAAAATTGTTTTCAATTTCATTTTGTTTTTTCTGCAATGATTTTAAAAAGGTATTGTTATCTATCAAATCTATTAAACATTCAATTATAGATATACAAAATTAACGGTTAAAACGTTAGATCATCAAAATCTCTGTTAAATCTTTAACAGAGAGTCGAAAATTCTTATGAATAATTAATATTAACACGTCATATCCAGTCAATGAACACGGTATTTCAATCAGCCATTTATTTCCAACCAATTTAATATTTTCATTAATACACATGAATTGTCTGCATCTCCATTGATACGATCTCGAAGATTTTTTTTTTCGAAATAACATTTAGCAATTCTTTTCAAGACACTAAGAAAATATGCTCACAAGGATCAAACGAAGAGTATAAAAATTCTAGTATTACGAATAAGGAAGTTATCGATTTTTTTAGAAAAAACATTTACCGTGACATCTAAAAATTTCAAATTTTCAGAGAAGATACTTCGATGCTTAGGCAAAGGTTTTAAAAAACGTCTCAAGATCGAATTTTCGAAATTTTTAACGAATTTTGATAGTTGAACTTCGATAGCCAACGAAAGCTGTGAACGACAAATATTTAGCAAAAATATATATGCATGTATGTATTGAACAAGAGACACTGCATAAAATTTACAATTTTCGTATCCGATATTCAAACGATCCTCATCCCACTCCCAATCTATATTCCAACTGTCGATTATAATTTTTTTTTCTTCATCTTTTTTTCAAACAAATGTTAAAATTTCCTTTCTTAAATTGCATTTTTTTTTCTCTCTCGAAGGGAAAAAATAACGATCTCATCTCTCTTCATCCCCCTCTCGTGCTGCTCGCAAGAGAAACGTTCGCCAGCAACGAAACGAAAGCCCTGAATATGTGTACGGGTACACGAGAGACATGTGTACACGTATACATACATATGGGAATATATATCATATACATATTATATTTATATTTATATATATATATATGTATAGGTGAATGTATAAAGAAGTAAACTCGTCAGACTTATGATTTTATGCAGGTCAGAGGTTCATCGTCAACAAAGGAATTAGCGTCCTCTTGCCCATCGCAAAATGGCATCTGCCAATACGTCAAGGTGAGCTTTCGTCTGGAACAGAGATAGAAAATAGCATTTGTTCGTGATAGCTTTGGATATTCATTTGAAATTTGAAATTGTATGTACATGAGATGACAAATTCACGAATGTACGTGGATACACGTTACATTTCATTGCGGTTATGGTACAGATCAAAATGACAAACGAGATGACGAATATATATTTGATATCGTGAAATATATATATATATTTTGTGATATTATATTTTTTTGAATTTTCAAATTAAAAAAAAAAATGTAATCTGTAAAAATGTAGACGTGTATTTGTGATCAATTATAATAATGTTTAATAATTGTTTAAATGATTATTTCTTGATTAAATTTCTTGAAGTATCTTTTATTGTGTTCCTCAAAGGAAACAAAATTTTAATGAAGAAATAGATTAATGGATAGCAATGTAATGAAAGAAATAATGCAGTGATAAACATGCATGCAGAATACGTAATTTCAACTTAAAGTTGGAGTTTGAATCTTCTCATAATGTATGTATAAATATAAGACGTTACCACCAATTCGTGTATTCTTAAAAATATTATAATATAAGAGATAAATATATTTAAACTTACATGCGAAAAGAAAAATAAAAAAAAGGAAAAGGAAAAGAAAACTAAATTCTTTCTATATTTCTCATTATCAAGTTACATTTAAACTGCACGCATAAATGCATAAATATGAACAATTATCTCATTCATAAAATTTTTCCCACTTTTTAAAACATTACATTCAAAGTATTAAAACGTATAAAATGAATATCAAAAGAAGCGTGTAAAATAACTTGCTTAATTCTCCAAACGTTAAACTCATAATTCTCTTTCATCATTAAACACAGAAGTAAAAGCTCGAACCGTAAAATAAATACAGAAAAAAAAAATTCTCTACAACTCCAATTTAAATTTTTAATCCTAAAAAGTATTTTCACAAAAAGAAAAAAAAAAATTCGTATCGTGAAATATTACAGAAAAAAAAAAAAAAACATTTTCAATCTAAGAATAACAATACAATTTATCCACGTTCACCATTATCAAACACTGTACTACTACATTCAAAGTACAACGTATTGCATTCTCCCCTATTTCCTTGGAAACCGTGAAAAATTACATGGAAAAACTTTCTTCTTCCATGCATAAAACACACGTAAAAAGTATCTCGAGGAATATCTAATCCACGGATCGCAAAGCCACGGAAGACGAACAACGCACATCGAAAAAACTCTTCAACTCCCGCCAAAAAAAAGTCATCCAATAACTCCGCTCCTCGAGTTCCGATATTTCGATCAACCCCACTCCGCTTGATCCCAGAAAGGGGAGGGAAAAAAACTTCGTTAAGTCGGTTAAGACTGGAAAATCTCCCCTCTGAAAAATCGCCGAGCCAAACAGCCTCGAGAAAGGCGATCGAGTTCTCGAGAGCGTATATGCCTCCGGCAAAAATTTAATTCGACTAGAAGTTCAACGTTGTTCGGAGTTTAATCAGATCTGCGGACCTCCCACGTTGATCAGGCCAATTCCGTTTCGACAACACGGCTCGTTCTTCCTCTCTTCGTCGTGTTCGAACGGAAACGAGGAATTAGGGAGAGAGGAGAGGAAAAAAACGAAAGAGAGAAAAAGGGAAAGAGAGAGAGAGAATGATGGTGGCGGCGGCGGCGCGACTCGACCAGGCGGAAGGAAAAGAAGCGAATATCGATTTCAAAGAGGCGGAGAAAGAGAGAGAAAGAAAGAGAGAGAGAGAGAGAGAGAGACCGTGGCCGGAATCAGGTGAAGAGAAAGGTCAACCGTTCGCCGGATGTGAGGGATGATAAATCCGCGAGAGGGCGAAACGCGCTGCTCAGATTTCCCTCCGGCCCGTTCTTTTTCCATTGTTTTTCCTCCCTTCTTCTAACTTGCTTTTTTTTTCGTTTGTTTGTTTGTTTGTTTAAGTGGAGCGGGTACGTGTAGGTGGTGGAAAAAAGGGTATGATCGTTGATGGGAATTTTGGGTGGATAGTCCAGTCAACGGCGGTGTCGGGGATAGGTAAATAAGTATTGGGAACACTCGTGTGGGGTGAGATAAATGTGGAGAGAATCCGTGGGGATATTTTGTATTGTTATTAATTGAGGGAAAATTCGAAAAATATTGACGATGAATGGAGAAATTTTGAAACGTTTTGAGTGGAATCGATATCGTTTTAGAAGAAATTTGAGATAATTAAATAATATTGGTTATTTATTAAGTTAATTTATTCAACGTGTTCTAAAACGTGCGCGATAAATTTTATAATCTTATTCTATTATTTTTACGAATTTGTTACGAATTTTAATTTTTATACACAAATATAAAAATTATCTAATTGATTACTCTTACGTTATAATAATCTGGATTAATTCTCTTTGGATCTATTTTGTATGCGACTAGCGAATGTTCTAATATTTATGGATGAGGGTTGCTGGAATGAAAGATTTGGCAGATTTATAAAAAGAAGATTCCAGATTTTGTCGAGGATCGCATAATATGAGTTTCATATTTTCTTTCGCATTTTCTTGCGAAATTTTTCAACCTATATACCGATTTTATCAAAAATGATCCAAGATAATACATTGCAATTTGTATATCCATGAAATCACGATAAACGCTTTTCTTCGCCGCTTAACTTATCATAAATATATATATATTTTAATAACATTTGCATAGCAAGATATTTCACGGTTCAACTCTGAAATTGATAAAAGATAAAAGAAGAAAGTTTCACGTAACAGAATTAAATAATTTCATGACACGTAGCGAAGAAAATTTTAAAAATTTTAAGAGCACTTTTTTATTATTTTTTTTTTTAATAGAAAATTGTATAATTTTTTAAAAATTATTAGAATTTTAATATTAATATCAGAATTCTAAATATTAATAGTGAAAAAAAAACATTTAAGATATTAAGATCAAGTGATATTAACATTATTGAAAAATATCAGGATTTTATATTTTGTTTCCCCATTGCCTAAGGGAATACTGAACGTATTCCTTTACATACACAATTTTATGTAAAATATCAAACAGTATATTTTTCTACGTATCGCGACATTTAAAATCATTTAATTTCTTCCAATGGAATTTTTTTCCATCTTCTATCTATTTCAGAGTCATGACTTGGCCCGGTTTTCATGAAAGATCCTATACAGATACATATTTATGACCAGTATGGCTTGACAAAAATATTCGAACGAGCACAGAATTTTAGCACAAATAAAATGATTTAGTGAGATGGATACAAACGTCGCTCAAATTTTTCTAGAATCAATCATTTTTAAAAACCGCGTTGGCGACACACGTAGGATGAAAAACAGCACGATTGTTTATTGTAAATATCGTATTTGTGTAATTAATAACGCGCAGCCTAGCTTTATTTGCTCCTATGGAGTTGTTTATACGTACTTGATCGAGCTACGTTCTTCTTGTTAACTAATTATATGTTCAAAAATAATCGTTAATATTATTTTACACGAGATGTGTAAAAAAAAAAAAACAGTGTAAAAATCAAACTTAAATATAGTTATGTCCTATGATAATATTGATTCTGATATGTATCGTTACGTGCAGTATTTTTAAATTGTCAATAGCACAGATTATTTTTTGTAAACTCTTTTCTATTTTCAAACTGTGGTGGAAATTAATTGAATTAAAGGAGCGGATTTACAACAGAATTTATAATTTTTCACGGCACGATATAACTCTTAATTTAAATAAAGTTAATTAACACGTCACCGCCGTCATGATAGTCATCAGAGATGGATGTGTTGAGATAGTATAATATTGTAATTACTTATGCGGACGTGATTGCGACTACTATGTTTAATAAAAGCGAGTAATAATAAGATAAGCATAAAATAGTTATTTATAACTGTTATGATATTTTCACGTTGAGCAATAATATAAATTTAATCGTGTTTTCCTCGTCATTTTCAACATAGCATCCGATCTGCTGATGGATGAAAAATCGGGTGAAATATATCTAGGAATATATAATCTGTTAAATCAAAATTATGCAGCAAGATAAAATCACACTTCTTTCTTTCTACGAACAGTTTCGAAAATAGTTTCGTTCCAAACTTCGTATATAAAAATATCTCAAAAGTATAATTTTTTTTCCCTAGTTTTAAGTCTTTCGTTTTTCCCAATAATATTTTAATCGCAACGCATTTTTTTGAGAATTTTTCACTATTAACATATAGATTAAAAAAATTTCTTCAAATCTCAATTAAATCCAATTCAAGCTTCTTCCTTTTTTGTTTGTTTCTTTTTTTTCTTTTTTCCTTTTTTTTTTTCTTTGCAGAAAAATATCTGATGAGATATTATCGAATTCTCTTTTAGTTTCTCTCTTTTCTCGAATGCATCATAATTATGAAATATTTCCTGGAAATATTCTCTATTTAAATACAGATTAAAAAATCTCTTGATATAATCTGGATCTACGACTTCCTTTTCCTTTCTTTGATAACATTAAGATATTACCAGAAATTTTCACTATCAACTTAAATTTCTTTAGGAAATTCTATTTTACGTGTTAAAGAAAGATTACACGATATATATATAGTAAATATAAGAAACAATGAACTAAGGATCAGAACAAAAGGATGACAAATTCGAGAATGTTTCCCTTTGAAATCGTCAAACATAATTTTGCCTCTTCGAATACACGCAAATTATCTCATCTTTTTTGTCCCAAAATTCAATCCAATCTTCATTCGATAATATATTTAAAAAGAAAAGAAGGGAAGCGCTTAATAAACCGTAAATTCGAGAAAAGACCCCCAATTTCACAAATTTCACAAACTCCAACTCGTTCCTCTGACATTATCTCGAAAACGTTCCGTTCCAAAAGGAAGCACACGTACGTTGTTACTTACATATTCCAAACGTGTGTTCAAATCTCTCTAGGTGCGGTAGCACAGTGCTCGATGTGCTCGTTCCACTTTTCAAGCGGTCCGTTCGCAAAACTTATCTCTTCCCGCCGCGTGCAAACGTGTTCTCTAATCTCCCTCTTTCATCCACTCAGTTTCCTTTTGTCCGTGCACACGATGAATTCTCGTTGGAAATCAGCACCGATTGTTTTTTCTTTTTTTTTTTTTTTCCTTTTTCTTTCCTCCCCTCCTTTCTCCCTCTCCCTCTCTGTCCCTCGTCGTCACTTGTTGTTTTTCCACGAGATGGAAGTAAGATGGAAACCTGGCCTTTGTCGGCGCGAGAATTAAGGAGACGAGGCTTTTTTTTTTTTTTTTTAGAGATTTACGCGCTCACCAGACAGTGTAAATTGAGCTTCCCCGGAGCCGACCGTGAGATTAGTTCCCCGCGGTTTTTCGAGTGTTTGGGGTTGCACGAGGGGGTTGGAGTGGCGCAATTGCGCGTGAAATTAGCGAAATGGTTGATGCACGGTGAAGGTTGTTCGTCTTAGGGGGTTGCGATAATCTTTTACACAAGCGTTTGGAACATATATTTTTATGCATGGAATTCGGTGGAACGTGGATCGAAGAGACGTATTAAAGAAATTGGGAATTAAAATATAATGTATTAACGTTTTGCTATATATGTATGTGTGTGTGTAGCATTATAATAGTAGGAAGTAAAAGAGGAAATAAATTAATTACGAATAAAATTATTGATAAAATTCTACGTGTCCAAGATACTTTATGATAGAGTAGAAAATAAAGAGAGAATGTATATGGAGGGTTTTACATGAGATTTCGTATTGATGATTGTATAGGATGTTAAAAATATTGAAGACTTACAGTTTTGTAAAACATGCAGGCTTGCCTGTCCTCGTCTTCGCCTGTAGGGCAGTCTATGAAACCGTCGCACAAGGCGTGATCGTCGATGCAATGGTATCTACCCATTCTGTCCGCTGAGGGACACGCAAACCTTTCCATCCCGTCCTCTGAGATAGGACATTCTGTAAAGAGAACGATTAAAAAAATTACGGATAGATTATCTTAATTGCAATGCTTTTTAATTATTATTTTATTATTAAACATCGTCGAATGTTTCCCTAATTTCTTTGAATTATTGTCCTCGTTCTAAAAATAATTTATCATATATTTATTTCGATTATTTAACTTCTCGATAATCCGCCATCTTTCAATTCTGATATCTGTCTTTAAGAATTTCTTGTTTATTAGTTACTTTATATCATTTTCTGTTTTCTTTTTTCTTAGGCAATTAGGATATTATTCTTTTCTATTAATTTATAATTATTTTCACTCGTAATTTAATTTAATCTATTAAATTGTTCGCGTCATCGTTAATTCATTTTTATGCAAAACGAGGGAGAGAACTCTCAGAAAAATGGCAACCATCGTCTGAGCGAAATTTTCTCGCAAGATTGCGACAGTTTCAAAGGCTGCATCGTATGAATTGAAAGGCATCGGAAAAATACCGAGGCTCTTGTTAATGTTTTCTTTCTATCGATTCGCCTCAACGACGCGAACTGTTTCGTGTGTGTACGGTAAAAATATACGTGTACATGTATATGCATTCTCAAATTCGATCAATTTATTTTGTTATCTGTTATTTGTATCACCGTCCAATATCAACGATTAACGTTTATACGTATATATCGAACTTTTCGTTCCAATTTGAAATACGATTGTATCGGGAAACGAGGAATTTACGCGTTATTCTCTTGAGAAATTATTATATTATTGCGATGAATAATAATTCGATGAAATTGTTTTATATGTCACAGGTGAAAGAGCGTATTGAGGAAAATGAATTTTAAAACGATCTATTTGCATTGTGCATAAATTAAAATTTAAAAAAAAAAGTAATAATAATAATTTATAAAATAGTTATTCTTTTATCGTCATCAAATTTTTGAAATTTATAACGTCAAACACGAAGAATAAATCTTTTCAGTCTTTCATAGTTAGTGTAAATATTTTATAATTTTCTCATGAATAATAAAATTTAAGGTATAAAGTTCATAAACTTGCTTGAGTCTTTTTCGAGATAAATTTCGAAGGGTTGATCCGTGAATTTAAAATTTATTTTTAAATCCATTTTATTATTTTTCTCCTCTGCAAGAAAATATTACATGTTTCGTAGTAATACAGTTATTTCAAACAGTTCGCTCGATTTATTCTCCTTATTCATTCGAGCATCATCAATTTATTTATTCAAGATCTATAAGGGTGGAACAATTCAGAATGTAACATTATTTCCAAAACCTTGAATAAAGAAGATTCTCCAAAAAGAGAGACAATTAAAATATGCTGAATCCATTAATTTAAATATATTACAAGTTTTTTTATTCATTATTTATTTTTCATATCTCTCTCATTATTTTCATATTTTTTTATTATTAAATTTTTTTTTCAACCTTCCTTCCCTCTCTCCAAAGTCTGTATTAAAATTAATTTTCTCTTTTCCCCGCTGAAATTAATTTATCTCTTTTATTTTCCAATATCAATTTTTTTTTACGTTAAAATTAATCAGTCCACCATTCTTACATTTTATTATTTTTAAAATCTTTTCAATATTTAACTTTCTCGCATAAAAACAAACTATTCCACCACTTTCCCATTTTCTAATTTTCAATTTCCGCGCAAAAATAAATCGTTTCATTCATTTTTCTCTTTCTATCTTAAATTTTCGAAATTTTTCTCGTCAATGTCCATTTTTAAACTTCAAAATTAATCCTTAAACCTTTCAAAACATTTTATTTCTCCACGTTTAAATTAATCACTCCACTATATTTCTACTTCCCAATTCCCAAAACTTTTCCAATATCACAAAATTCATTTATCCCTTCCTGTTATCCCCCTACCTTCGTTTGTCAATTACGAATCTCTCTTTTTCTCTATTGTCAAAAAGAGAAATATATTCTCAAAAAATATATTCCTGAACCCTGAATCGTATTGTCGATCAGAGCACACTATCCAGAGCAACCACGTGAGATTTCCATTAATTTCCATACTCGTATCCCCGGATCGATTCCTAATGAAGCTTTTGTTAGGACGCAGGACAATAGTCGAATAAAAAGAACACGTCTCCCCCTCTGTCCATATTTCCACCGATGAAAATTTCAAGACAACTTTCCATACGAACGATGCTGTTAACAATGCACGACTAACTCCTGCAGTTTCACCACCACTTCACCAGATCTCGTGCCCATTCAAAAGGAATGGTCGGAAATATCGTGAACCGTATCAAGCTTGCCTTCAATATATTCGTTTAGGTTTACTTTGAAGTTTGTCACGTGCTTTTTTTTTTAGTTAAATTATTATTATATTATTAAATTTGTTGAATAGATGTACGTTCTATATATATATTATAAAGCTCGAGGGAATATCGATGATTTATACGATATGTCAATGTATTTGTGGAAATGGTGGAAAGTAGTTGATTCTAGAGGTTAAAACAAATATATATATATATAGAAGTTGGTATGCGGAAATGTCGATTGACGTTATGTATTATAAAAGAGGTGTCTGTCTATATCACTGTTTCACTTCATTTAATGGGAATTTAAATTATTTATAATTTAATAGATATTAAGTTATATATATATATTTTTTTGATTTTCAGAATCGTTTCTGTAAAAGTGTTCTATTTGATATTAAGACTGTATACTGTGTATTAATTTTGATAAAATTTTATTCAATTTTGTTCCATTGGGTTAACTTCAGGTTCGTGTTGATCCTTTATTTTGACTCTCTGTACATAGAAATTAAATTTTCATTGTGAAAGACAGATGTCAAAGACATCAAAAATAGTTTTAATTAAACTATTTTTATATTATATAAAAGTTTGCGAGAAGAAATTATAATTTTCATTTAGTTTGCTGTTATAATTTGCTCTGGATATACGTAATACAATGTGTTTTCACTAATGGACGAGAAGCATATTAACAAACGGGGTTGGCAACGTTTACATATTAAAACAAACGAAGCCACTAGATGGCATTATTTCCAGCAAATGTGTTAACTCCCATTAAGGTCCAAGTAGAGAAATAATGTGTACAATTTGCGTAAACGTAACATTATTCAAACACGTTAATAAAGTAATTTACATATTGTTCCGGTCTCAAGGTTCGAGAAATTTATACTTCATAGAAATTTGCTATGCAAATCGCAATTTCTATTATTAGTGAAAAAAAAATGATTTGTCACACCACTATATAATATTTCAACTTTCCCTTTAAACTTTAATAAAAATTTATAATAGATATAAAATTTGAAAAAGAAATAACGGGGGGGAAAAAAAATATTGTATAAGTTTTTTTCAAATTTCTTTTTACAATTTCAATATTGGAAAAGAGAAAAAATAAGAAAGTGAAATGTTGCTTTAACGCAACGTTGATCTTTGTCGCTTTTATCCCGATCAATTTCACTCTATTTCTTTCTCGATCATCGAATATAACTCGCCAACTGAATTCATTAATCCACTCTTCTCGAATGAAAAGATGAAAGAAGGTGAAAGAGGAGAGGGATATTGAATAAACTTTAAAAGGATCGACGATTTTCCAGGTCGAACAGGTGGTGATCTTCTTTTTTATTTAAATAATCACTGTGTTATACCTCGAGCTCAGTCGGGACAAGGATCTCCTTGAGATAAAGGCAACATGGATGCACTTAAAAAGCGATTAAAACTGAAATCCGTAGTACTCGGCGTTCCAATGTCCGTAAATATGAGAGGCTTTGGAAGTCTTTGGGATTTAGAAAGGGGTGAAATGGAAGGAGGAATGGAGTGGAAGGAACGTGACAGCTGTGCGCCATTTTGATTCTTGAAGTAAATCTGAAGTAATCTTTTTATTTTTGTAATCGTTGAAAGGTTTTTAAAAAATGAATTTAAATATAACGATGTGTGTGTAAGGAAAATTGAAAATTTTTGGTATTGTTTTAATTCATATTGTATTTTTCGATACTGATATACTTGATTATTAATCTTTTTGACTTCTAAAAAATATTTCATTTTGATTAATTTTATTTTGCGTTTTCTGATAATTTTTTTTAACATAGAAAATGTGAAGTTATTTAAGTAACAGGTAAATTTGTTTGAAGTGGTTAGATTAATCTTGCAACATTGATTAAGATTCAAATTATACAAAGTTGTTCTTCTATCAAAGATCAATTTTAATTCTGATTTGATTAAATAGCTTGGCTTGACATAACCAGAGAAAAAAGTCACAAAGTGAAAGGTTAAAAAAAGTCAAAGTTTGTATCGACTTGAACTCTCAAGCGTAATTGAACTAATAATATTACAGAAATTTTACATAAGTTTTGAGTTTCACCAGTGTTGATAAATTTTCTTGAAGAACAGTTATGTACAAGTTTGTTAATAAAACAAGCAAAATTCGGAAAATAAAAATTATATAGTTAATTATAATTCTAGTCGAAAAGTAATATTGTAAAATTTTATGTAATTGCAGCTTATCATGTGGCATTATTATTAATTAGAAAATTCTTTTACTAAAAATAAAATATAAATTTGTTTCGAATGTTATTTACGAATAAAATATAAAGGAAAATCTTCGAAACTAAGAATTTAATTAAAAATTTAAAAAAGATGAATAGGAAAATAATTTATATATATATTGTATTCATTTATATCGTAATAGCATAACATAGTAGAATGAATAAATAAATAAAATATAATTATTCTGTGTTAAAAATATCTGAAATTCAACGATATTAATACTTTATAATTTTGTATTGACTATGACCTATACAAAAAATTATTTTATCCTATCTTATGTAACTAAAAATTAAGCATACTATACTTGTGTTTTATTATTGGAAAATTCTTTTTTATTCGAAATAGCAAAAGTATATTACTATATTAATCTCAATATTGAATCGAAAAGATTTTTAACAAAAAATTTTTATTCTTCTTGTAAAAACGTTTACAATTTCCGCATTGTAATACGCAGTAATTATGTTTTAACAACATTAT